ACAGCAATAGCTGATTCTTTCCATAGGAGATTTTAGGTTCAGTTTTCCAAAATGTTTGAATTTTGAGACAAAACAATTCTGAATTCTTACAGAAAATTTCTCAATTTTTAAAACACTTCTTGGTCAAATAAAATGTACTTGTCCTTTGCCTTCCTGGTGCCACTCCTCACCTCACAAAAACAAGACAACAACCAGGCAGGTGTGGTGGCTCAAGCCTGTAATCCCAGCACTTTGGGAGGCTGAGGTGGGCGGATCACTAGGTCAGGAGTTCGAGACCAGCCTGGCCAATATGACAAAACGCTTTCTCTACTAAAAATACAAAAATCAGCCAGGTGTGGTAGCGGGTGCCTATAGTCCAGCTATTCTGGAGGCTGAGGCAGGAGAATCACTTGAACCCAGGAGGCAGAGGTTGCAGTAAGCCGAGATTTAATCACTGCATTCCAGCTTGAACGACAGAGCAAGACTTCGTCTCAAAAAAACGAAGCAAAACAAAAAGAGCAACCCTTCCTTTTGGACTGAACAAAATGTAGCGGTGGTCTGAAACTTCTTATTTTCCATCTAAATGTTCTATTTAAACACTGTCATTTTATTATTTAAGTAAAATTATATAAAAACAACACAATATTTATTTATTTGTATTTATCATATTTATTTAGATTAAAAAAGAAAGTATATAGTAGACTTCGGATTTGTCCTATTTGGAATTTTCCTTACCTCAGATAAAAACAGAAGTAACTCCAGCCCATCCTGCTTTCTGAATCTGTGCAAGATAGTCCAATTCTTTGATCCATAAAACTAGTAGGTTTATTTTGGTGAGGGGAATAGATTGATACAGAAACTAATACTTTGAAAATGGTGATGAAATTAAGTAAGAACTTAAAATCAGGATTTTTTTTTTTTTTTTTTTTAACAGAGTCTCACTCTGTCACCTAGGCTGGAGCACAGTGGCACGATCTCAGCTCACTGCAACCTCCGCCTCCTGGGTTCAAGCAATCCTGCATCAGCCTTTTGAGTAACTGGGATTACAAGTACCTGCCACCACGCCCAGTTAATTTTTGTATTTTTAGTGGAGTTGGGATTTCACTATGTTGACTAGGCTGGTCTGGAACTCCTGACCTCAAGTGATCACCTGCCTCAGCCTCCCAAAGTGCTGGGATTACAGGCATGAGCCACCGTACCCAACCAGGATGTTTTTTAACATTTAAGATTTCCACTAAATTTTTGCTTTTTTATGTGGCATAATGATTATGTGGTCCTGTCAAATCATTTTTAGTTGAAGTAGCTGTATGCCCAATAATTAGAAATTTTTATGTGTATCCAATTCCAGAAATTAGCTAAATTACAAAGAAAATACTGTGAAGAAATTACTAGAAACAAAGACTGCATAGTAGATAACTTTACAAAGGAGGAGGGTTACACAGCAGTAGGGGAAAAAAGGCAGGGTTCGTCCACCACAGAAAAAAATTTTTTATAAGTAAAAATTTATATATGAATTATCCTTAAAGATATTTATTAGCTTTCCAAATAACCTTTGCCTTTTAAAATGTGTTCGTTGGCCAGGTGCAGGGGCTTACACCTGTAATCCCAGTAATTTGGGAGAGCGAGGTGGGTGGATCGCCTGAGCCCCGGAATTTGAGACTAGCCTGGGCAACATGGCAAGGCCCTGTCACTACTAAAATACAAAAAAAAAAAAATGCTGGGCATGATGGTGTCTGCCTGTGGTCCCAGCTACTCAGGGGGCTGAGGTGGGAAAATCACTTGAGCTCAGGAAGGGGAGGTTGCAGTAAGCTGAGAAAAATAAAATGTGTTCATCAAAAACAGTCCCATAATAATTGATATAACTTAATAAAGTGTATTAATAAGAATGAAAGTACATATAATGAGCACATAGTACCAAAACCAGAAAAAAAAATCCTGATCTGTAGTAGTTGTATGGATTTTTTTGTCTGAAGTGAAAGCACTCTCAGGGGCTATATGATGCTCATAAGTGTGGAAGGGACTTGTAACTTACCTTTTCTTCTTGCATCATTTTAAATCAAAGTTCTCCTGAGCAGAAGCTTTACAGCCAAAACAAACTACAGAAGAGCCCACTTTGAAAGAGTTTTCATATTATGTGTAAAACAGATGTTCAGCAAATATTGTATAGCTTAAGTAGCATTTTATACAGTTTGGATTAAAATGAAATAAAAGACGCTTGTACTCCAGATTTATCGGCTGTCTACAAATGCGGATTCACACAATACTCAGTCTGTTTCAAGTAGACTGTAAACATACCCAGAACTCTGATGACCTGAAATAGTGCATTTGCTAAGATAAGGTCACTTTATGGTTTCTTATTTATTACTCTGCATCTTAAGTGTTTGAGTCTTGCCCATCTCCGTATAGGACTTAGAAATAAAATGCAGATCTGAAACCTAGTACTCAAGAAACTTCATGGAGAACTGATACTTTTGATATGCTGAGTTATGATAGAGTCTAAGACACAGTTAACATTAAAATAACAGCAGTATAGATAGAAATCAGTAAGTACGTTGAATCTGATAGGGACTTGTAGTGCTATCAGTCATACTGTATGTTGTCTAAAACTACTCTGGAGATACATTGAACCTATAATTCACCATCTTTTCTATTGTGGATTATGGTTGTTACATGATTATATAAATATCTGATGATGGAACTGATTGTTTTAATTGTGTAATCTGAAAAGCCATGTAATTTTTTTGCCCTCTTTATTATGTCAATCCCAGATTTATAGTTATCTAGTTACTTCTATTTCATGTATTGTAAACTATTCTTGTTTTTTCATTTGCTTTTATTTTTAATCTTCTAATTTCTGATTTTACAAGTAAAGATCTAGCAAGTAGCCGGGCGCGGTGGCTCAAGCCTGTAATCCCAGCACTTTGGGAGGCCGAGGCGGGTGGATCACGAGGTCAAGAGATCGAGACCATCCTGATCAACTTAGTGAAACCCCGTCTCTACTAAAATTACAAAAAATTAGCTGGGCATGGTGGTGCGTGCCTGTAATCCCAGCTACTCAGGAGGCTGAGGCAGGAGAATTGCTTGAACCCAGGAGGCGGAGGTTGCGGTGAGCCGAGATTGCGCCATTGCACTCCAGCCTGGGTAACAAGAGCGAAACTCCGTCCCAAAAAAAAAAAAAAAAAGATCTAGCAAGTAATTCTTTGTATGAAGAAAATAAGCAAGGCAACTGAATTTCTGTTGACAGTAGTCAGAATCAAAAAGACCTCAGAAGAAGCTGTTATTGATATCTAGTCTCATAAGAATCATGTGTCTGTAGTAGTGCTAAGAAAAATTCTGTTGTTTGAACAAAACTAAAGTGAATTTTGCCAGCTCTGATATGATTGAAAGATATAGCAACTAATAGGAAGACCCTAATTAAATCTATCCTGACAGTGGAGTGTGCCACTACTTAGTTTTGAAATAATCTTTGCTAATGATCTTTAAATTGATAAAAATAAGTTTATCCTATATTAGCAGAAGTATATTATTTGTTGTTGTATGTGTTTACAACATGGACTCCATTTCAAAATATTTTACATTTTCCATAGCATGAAGAGGAACCACCTCAGAATATGAAACCACAATCAGGAAATGAGAAGCCGTTATCAAAAACAGCTCTTAAAAATCAAAGGAAGCATGAAGCTAAGAAAGCTGCAAAGCAGGTATTTGGGGTCACTAATCTCCTCAGAACAAAACAAACAAAAAATCAGTTATGACCGGGTGTGGTGGCTTATGCCTGTAATCTCAGCACTTTGGGAGGCTGAGGCAGGTGGATCACTTGAGGCCAGGGAGTTCAAAACCAACCTGGCCAAAATGGTGAAACCCTGTCTCTACTAAAAATCCAAAAATTAACTGGGCCTATAATCTCAGCTACTTGGGAGACTTGAGGTAGGAGAATTGCTTGAACCTGTGAGGTGGAGGTTGCAGTGAGTCTTGATCATGTCACTGCACTCCAGCCTTGCAGTCTGAGAGACAGAGTGAGACTCCATTTCAAAAGAAAAAGACAATAAGTTAGCTTTAAGCCTTAAAGTTTAAAGAACTGTGGTCCTAAAGACTTGACTGTGGGCCAGGTGTGGTGACTCATCCCTGTATCTCAGCACTTTGGGAGGCCAACGTGGGAGAATTGGGCTTGAGCCCAGGAGTTCAAGACCAGCCTGGACAGCATAGTGAGACCCCTGTCTCTAAAATTTTTTTTTTTTTTTTGCTAGGCATGATGGCGTGTACCCTATAGTCCCAAGTACTTGGGAAGCTGAGATGGTAGGAACACTTGAGCTTGGAAGGTTGAGGCTGCAGTGAGCCGTAATTGTACCACTCCAGCCTGAGTGACAGAGTGAGACCATGCTTCAAAACAAAGGAAAAAAACACAAAAACCCTTGGCTGTTATATAAAATGTAGTTGGAGTTAGACTTAAATCGGCAGAATATCTTTCTTTTGTGTTCGCTTATGAATTTCTGAGTAATCCTGTCTGTATGATGGGTGACAAAAGAAACTGGACCTGACATTGTAACGTGAGACTAATGGTATTATATAGCATGTTACTCGCTGTAGACTCTTTTGGTGGCACTTGTGTGAGGTGGTGCAGTTTGCTTTCCTTAAAGCATGTGTTTATAAGAGAAGCTGGTAATTACATGACTAGAAAGCCATGTGGGCACTCAGTATTACAGTACTATATGAAATTATTTAACTGGGAATCGAAACACCAGAAGTACCCAAATAATGGAATATTTCCAATTTTTTTTAATTATGTAGTTGGAAAGCCACACCAGTGTAAATAATTGACAAATTGTGATCAGCTGGGCTGGGGATGTCTAGTTGGTGAAGTTACGGTGATCACATTTTTGCAATTCAGGCAGAGTACGTCGTCATAATCCATTCAGGCTGCCACCTTAGACTAGGTAATTTATAAACACAAATTTATGGCTCACAGTTCTGGAAGCTGGGGTGCTGGCAGACTCGGTATCTGGTGAGGATCCATTCTTCATACATGGCACTGTCTTTTTGTGTGTCCTCACATGGTGGAAGGGTCAGTGGAGCTCTCTTCAGTCTCTTTTATAAAGCTATTTGGTGAGGGTGGAATCCTCATGACTCAATTGCTTTCCAAAGGCCCCACCTCCTAACACTATCACATTGGGTATTAGGGCTCAAACTATGAATTTGGGGGAAACACCAATATGTCAGACCAGAGCAGTGGCGTAGGGTTTTTGGTTTTTGTTTCTATTTTTGTTTTTTGAGACACTTTCTTTCTCACTCTGTTAACCAGGCCGCAGTGCGGAGACATGATCATGGCTTACTGCAGCCCCAAACCCCTGAGCTCAAGTAATCCTGCCTCAGCTTCCCAAGTAACTAGGACTATACATGTGTACCACCGTTCCTGACTACTTTTTTTATTTTTGTAAAGACACGTTCTCACTATGTTTTTCAGGCTGGAAGGGGGTGGGTTTTATTTGGCTTTGTTTTAGTTTGGATTTTTTTGAGGCTGAGTTTTGCCATGTTGCCCAAGCTAGTTTCAAACTCCTGAGGTCAAGCAATGCGTCCACCTCAGCCTCTCAAAGTGCTGGAATTACAGGCGTGAGCCACTGTGCCTGTTCTAGAAAGGGCAGATTTTTAATAGCTGAGTGCTATATCACCAATACAGTCCCGCTGATAATTCTTGAATTTTGACAGGTCTAGGAGGGTTATGTGTTTTGGGAGGCAGTTACTATTTTAAGGTGTAGAATTGTGTTACACAACCACATTCTGCTAAAATCTGGACTTTTAGAAAAAACATTCTGCTCATTTGTAGTTAATATATTTCATCCCCAGAAGTATCCTTTAACTTAAAGTCAGTTTATGTTACTCCAAGTAAAAGGATCTATTCCATGCGTTAAGCTAGTCTTGTCCTTTCATCAGTACAGGTAGGGACCTCTGCTGGCCCTGGGTATTATAACACATTAGTAGTGTCCTTACAGCTTGATAAGTTACATGCCTTCTGAGTTTTAGGGCCTCTCTGAAACCCACTCAACTTAGAATTCAATTTTTATAAGCAAGATGTCTTCCACTTTATCAAAAGATATTTTCTTTTTTTTTTTTTGAGACGGAGTTTCACTCTTGTTACCCAGGCTGGAGTGCAATGGCGCGATCTCGGCTCACCGCAACCTCCACCTCCTGGGCTCAGGCAGTTCTCCTGCCTCAGCCTCCTAAGTAGCTGGGATTACAGGCACGCGCCACCATGCCCAGCTAGTTTTTTTTGTATTTTTAGTAGAGACGGGGTTTCACCATGTTGACCAGGATGGTCTCGATCTCTCGACCTCGTGATCCACCCGCCTCGGCCTCCCAAAGTGCTAGGATTACAGGCTTGAGCCACCGCGCCCAGCCAAAAGATATTTTCAATATGACCATTGGTGATACTGAACTAAGATTCCTTTATAATTATTATATAATAATAACATATAATTACATGTGATTATAATTAATTATAACTTAATATACTAATAATATACTGAATTATAATTATATAATATGTAAATTTTATCCATATTTTTATATTAATATTTTATAATTATGTCATATAATTTAATATCATTATAATTATTATACATAATGGTTATTTATAACTCTCAGTTATATAACTGTCAGGTTTTTTTTTTAAGGAGCCAGTACAATCATCAAGTACCTGTACGTGTTGTTTACTAAAGATGATACCAAAGGTGATACTGGTAATCTCTCATTGTGGAGTTGCTTTTTGAGTTGTTTTTTCAATAATAGCAAAGGGTTTTCAACTTGCAAGATAATCTATTCAGTATGTATTTTGGGGACAACTGTCTGGACTTAGTAATGGCTGGGTGATGGAACAAAGCTAAATGGCCTTTGGTAGACTCTCACCTTATCCAGGCCGTCTTAGTCCTGACTGTGAAGTAAGTAGCCAGAGATAGAGCAGTCAGATGTATATAATCTAACTAGTATTTTTATAAACTGGTGATAATTTTATAAGTTTATTGACTTTACCAAAAAAAGAGTTGAAACATGAGAATTTAATCCTGTTATATATACCTCCTTTCTAGAAAATGGCCAGAATTTAAGTGTAATAATGCAGACATTGCAACTTGTTCTTGGTTAGTTGTGGAGAAAAATAAGTTTCACATTTCACTTAATTTTGAAGGTTTTTCACATGTATAACATTTAACCTTTCTTCCTAGAAGAGTTCTATTCTTAGCTCATTATAAACAACTAAAATTTTATATTTTTAAAATCTGATGTAAAAAGTGAATTTTTATAGACAGAATATCCCCTCTTATTCACTCTTCTACTTTAACTTTATATTATGAAAAATATACGCCGGGCGCGGTGGCTCAAGCCTATAATCCCAGCACTTTGGGAGGCCGAGGCGGGTGGATCACAAGGTCAAGAGATCGAGACTATCCCAGTCAACATGGTGAAACCCCGTCTCTACTAAAAATACAAAAAATTAGCTGGGCATGGTGGCGCGTGCCTATAATCCCAGCTACTCAGGAGGCTGAGACAGGAGAATTGCCTGAACCCAGGAGGCGGAGGTTGCGGTGAGCCGAGATCGCGCCATTGCACTCCAGCCTGGGTAACAAGAGCGAAACTCCGTCTCAAAAAAAAAAAAAAAAAAAGAAAAATATAAAACTGCCTATTACCAGAACTTATAGGCTCCTTAAGAGGAGAGACTGAATATTTTCTTTCAAATACTCAAAGTGCACAGTAATTTGTTTTCATGGAGAAGGTAAGGAATTGTTTATTAAAGTGTACAAAAAAGTGAAACCAACATGACTTTAAAAAGAAAAATTGACTCCAATTCTGTGTTTTCTATAAATTCTTAGGCAGACTTTTTTAGAGTTGAATATCTAGAAGTGATATCTTATTCTGTGTTCCCTGAGGATGCTTTAAAAGTTCAGAGTATCCTACCCAGAACTCTTGAGTAAAAGGTTATGGAGACCTGGGACATTATATATATTCCACTGGAAATTCTATAAGAAGTAGAAACCTGGCCGGGCATGGTGGCTCATGCCTGTAATCCAAACACTTTGGAGGCCAAGGCGGGCAAATCATCTGAAGTCAGGAGTTCAAGACCAGCCTGACCAACATGGTGAACCCCATCTTCAAAAAAAAGAAAAAAAAAAAGAAGAAGTAGAAACCTTTTCTTGGAGCCAATAAATAAATAATAAATAACTCTTTTCCCCTTACCAAAATATATATCTTGTCGTAATTATAAAGGAAAAGTCATTCCTTTACTTTTTTATTTATTTAGCCCATGCAGCAAACCAGTATTATGCTAGGGGCTCAGTTCTAATGGAGAATGGTGGAATATGGTGTTACCGTAGGGAAAAATACTGGGCATTATGGGAGCCTAGGAAAGGTGCAACTATCCAGTCTTAGAATAGGGAAATTTTCCAGGAGACATAAAGGATAAGTAGGGTTCAGCCAGTGACTTGTAGGGGAAGGTGCTGTAGGCACAAGGACCAATATATAGTAGTCTCCCTTTATCCTGGAGGGGCAGAGATGTGCCTGAAACCACAGTTAATACAGAAGCCTATAGAAACTGTGTTTTTCCTGTGCATACATAGCTATGATAAAGTTTATAGATTAGGCATAGTAAGAGATTAACAGTAACTCATAAGAAAATAGAACAATTAAAACAATAGACTGTAATGCAATATATGGGAATATGGTCTCTCAAAATATCGAATTGTGTTGTATTCACCATTTTTGTGAGGATGTGAGATGATACAATGCCTGTGTGGTGAGAAGAATGACCATGGCTGTAACTTGCAGTTTGAGGTGCAACTGTGAAACTAGCACTAATTTCTTTTTTCGTCTTCCCAAGTTCATGGATAGGTTTATTCTTACTGTAGATCTTAGCAAATCAATGTACAATATTCCGTATGAAGAACTTTCACCTTTTCACTTAATGGAAACACTTTACGGCTTCTCTTTGGCACATCCAAATTGCCAGCGTCACTACTCTGTGCTTTGGGGCCATTATTAAGTAAAATAAGGGTTACTTGAACACAAGCACTGTTGATACTATGATAGTCAATCTGATAACCAAGACAGCTACTAGTGAAAAATAGGTGGGGACTGAATACACTGTGGACACACTGGATAAAAGAATGATTCTCACCCTCGGCAGGATGCTGAGAGATTTCATCACACAGCTTAAAACTTATGAATTGTATACTTCTGGCATTTCCATGTAATATTTTTGGGCTGCAGTTGGCCCTCAGTTACTGAAACCATAGAAAGTGAAAGCATGGTTAAGGGAGACTGCTGTACACAAAGGCCAAGGGCAAAAGTATACAGCACCTTAGCAGAAATAAAAGTGATTCAGAATCAGGGGTCCTTCAGTGAGGAGGGACAAGAAAAGTTATCAGAGGTCTGATCATATTGGAAGCAACATAGCATCCCTTTAAGGGGAAAAAAGTTTTGTGGTTCTTGTTGCAGAATTGAATTGATCTGATAATAAATTAGTATCTGTAGGATTCTTATTCTTGTAGAATAATCCATTACATGTACTTGATTATACATATTCTTCATAGTTTTGGAGAGAGCCTTGTGAGAGTGAAACTTTAAACACATTAAATAGAAAAGCCCTCTCATGTGTTCAAACCATCCATCTATCCATCTACTGGCACATCTTGGAATATCCAAAAGTTTGGAATGCTTGTTGGCTGGTACAGAAACCTCCTAGTTTACTCTGATAAAGTCATTTTATTTCTAATATGGGAGTATATAGCCTACTTCATGAGACCTTTAATTTAGATTCTTTATATAAAATGTAGGTAAAATCACAGTTTCTGTATTTTATAGACCAAAGCTGTGATGGTTTAAATACTGTAATGTTTTTGGTTTTTAAAATTGAATTTTAAAAAATATTTCCTGCAGGAAGCAAGAAGTGACAAGAGTCCAGATTTGGCACCTACTCCTGCCCCACAGAGCACACCACGAAGCACTATCTCTCAGTCAATTTCTGGGGATCCTGAGATAGACAAAAAAATCAAGAACCTAAAAAAGGTGAGAAACTTAAATGAAAAACAGATGTGCATCTTGCAAGGCATAAATTAAAATTACATAAATATCTGCCTAAAGACAGATATCTAAGAAGTTTATATTAGCAGTTCTCATTGTTGCTTTCTCACCATGAAGTACTGTCACTTAGTAATGGTACTGATTTTAGTTTTGTCATAAATGTCTGAAGGCTCTTAGTAATTTACTGATTTTTGGAGTGATAAAAATCAGTATGCATTAGCATAGACATACACTGAAAACTTTTTTTTTTCTGAGATGGAGTCTCACTCTGTCACCCAAGCTGGAGTTCAGTGGCACAACCTCGGCTCACTCCAACTTCCGCCTCCCAGGTTCAAGTGATTCTCCTGCCTCAGCCTCCTGAGTAGCTGGGACTACAGGCATGCACCACCACGCTCGGCTAATTTTTGTATATTTAGTGGAGACAGGGTTTTACCATGTTGGCCCGACTGGTCTCTAACTTCTGACCTCAGGTATCTACCTGCCTCAGCCTCCAAAAGTGCTGGGATTACAGGCATAATCAGTATTTCTTTAGATAGCTGTGAGATAAGTAGGACCAGATATTTATCCTAGTTTTGAAGATGAAGAGACAGAGACAAAAAGAAAAATGTATTGACTTGTGATATTGCAGCCAGTGTGCTGGGGTGGCGCTGGGGATAAAACAAGGTCTCTAGAGCCCTTCACGGCTGCATTATGAGATTTCTCTTTCATTCATTTTTTTATTGGGCAGGACTTTGGACCAAAATCTTTCAGAACGCTCTCACTGAGATTTCTCTCAAAGCCAGAAACATCACCCAATTCCAGTGGGGCATTGAAATGTGCTATTACTGATACACTTACATATACACATACATATATGAGAACATTAATTAAAAGCCTGAGGAAAATATTTTGCCAAATTTCATGTTTTTAACATTTACAATTTTGCATTTAACTTTAAAAAATAGTTTTATCGTAGCATTTTAACAGACCATTTTTAATACAAATGTAAGATGATTAATCTCCTTATTTGAGTTTCACATTCTTAAGGAAATTTGCATTTGAAGTGAATTCCTCTTGACTCATATTTGATATTTGCAGAAACTGAAAGCAATTGAACAACTGAAAGAACAAGCAGCAACTGGAAAACAGCTAGAAAAAAATCAGGTACTTTCTGCATTTTCCATTTAGGCTTGTGACCACCACCCTTCCCCCATTTATGATAAACAAGTATCTAGTCAGGTAAAAGCACATAGATTTTGAAAACTTATTTTGAAAACCATATGCCATAATCTTTTTAATGTTTTTATTTTTAAATAGTTTTACTCTTAAACGAATAGAGGAGATAATAGTATTGATCATGGGAATGAAAGAGTCAGTGTTCTTAAGAGGCATACTATGCTGTTACTAATGAAAATAATAGCAATTTGTTATATTAGACAAATAGACGATTCTCTTCCTTTCCATATCTCAAGTTGTACTGCCCTGTTTACCTTTTCCCTCTTCCTTTCCTCAACATTTTTAAACCCAGATATATATAGAATTGAAAATTTATTGGGCACAGAGGAATGCAATAAGACAGTGTCTGTTCTTTTTTACCCTTGATTCATACCAGATAACAAATTAGAATTTGTGCCTAACCTGCATTTTAAAATTTGTGTTTACTAGTGAACATGATAAATTGTCAGAAATGTCATGTCATGTATTCTTTTTGTTACATATCCAGTACTTGTTTCATAATAACTTCATTGTTTTAAACTTTTCTAGTTGGAGAAAATTCAAAAAGAAACAGCCCTTCTCCAGGAGCTGGAAGATTTGGAACTTGGTATTTAAAGATTCACAGAAAGCAAGTTGATGACCAGAAATCAGTGCAAATACATCTTCTGTTAAACCCATTGGTATACACAGAATATTCCTGTGCCCACACTTAATGTCAATCTCTAATTTTAACCATTTATTCAAGATTTTCCAAAGTGTAAAATTATTTAATAGTCTATTAAATTGATATTTATCTTACATCCTATATCATGTCAATATGTGATATAGAAAAGAGATACATGAATTTTTTAGCTAAGCTTGACAGATTGAAAGACAAATGTCAATGTTTTTTTGTAGAGGGTGATGTATACCATATAAATGAATAGATACATTTTAAATTTTATCACTTTGCTTTTAAGTTCCTTAGTTCAGATGTCCTTTTTTAATCTGTAAGACATGTGTAAAGCTACTTAATTCTCACGAGACTAAGTAATTCTTATAATCTCTATTTTATAAATAAAGAAACTAAGGCCATTAAAATTGAGAAGTTTGCCAGTGTCTCAAAGCTAGGAAATGGGATTTGAACCTAGACTGTCTAATCCCAGAGCCTATGCTTTAGGTTACTATGATATACTACTCCTGTATCCTCAGGTAATGTGTCCTATAGTAACATTAAGCACCCTGCTTAGTTTTCATGGATATTGCCAAATTGCCCTATCTAAAGCTTTATACTTGCACCATTTGAAGTTTTCTACACTGTTGTCAATATTAGAAGTGATAAGGCTTTCCAATGCTTGCCACATTGATAAAGGGGAAATGATAGTTCATTACTGTTATATACATTTATTTTTATTAGGGATGTGTTATATACTTTTTCATGTTTGATGGTTGTATTTCTTTAGTGAATTGACTTTTTCTTTGCCCATTTCTCTGTTTAGATGTTTGACTTTCTTCCTAATTTGTAAGAAAATCCTATGTAGTAACAAAGTCATTTTTAAAAAAATTTTGAAGTATACACCCAGGATTTTTTTTTTTTTTTAAGAATTCAAACAATACAAAGGCATGCAATGGAAAGTAAGTCTGTTCCACTGCCACATTTTCCATATGAGTATTCAAGTATACATATACATACACTTAAAAAAAAAAAAGATGGCATATACTCACTGTTCTGTTTGAGTTTTTTTGTTGCTTTTTATTTTTAAAGACAGAATCTCACTTTGTCTTCCAGGCAGAAATGTGGCCTTGAACTTTTGGACTCAAGTGATCCTTCATCTCAGCCTCCTGAGTATCTGACACAACAGGCTTGCATTACTATGCACAGCTTATGCTCACCATAGTGATTCTATACTCCCTTAAAATATTTTGGGGGCTGGGCATGGTGGTTCACACCTGTAATCTCAACACTTTGGGAGGCTGAGGTGGGCAGATCACCTGAGGGCAGGAGTTCAAGACCAGCCTGATCAACATGGTGAAACCCCATCTCTACTAAAAATACAAAATTACCAGACATGGTGGCACATGCCTGTAATCCCAGCTAGTTGGGAGGCCGAGGCAGGAGAATTGCTTGAACCCAACAGGCGGAGTTTGCAGTGAGCTGAGATCACGCCACTGCACTCCAGCATGAGCAACAAGAGCAAAACTCTGTCTCAAAATATAGCTATATATTTTTTGGAGCTCCTTCTATATCAGTACCTGTCTCCCTCTCTCTCCATCTCTTTCTCTCTCTCTACGTAACAATACATTCTGTGGAAGCAGGAGGATTTAACTAGCTTCACACTAATGTACATTAATGTTACAGAAGTCACTGAAATGGCCAGGTGCAGTGGCTCATGCCTGTAATTCCAGCACTTTGGGAAACCGAAGCAGGTGGACTGCTTGAGCCCAGGAGTTCAAGACCAGCTTGGGCAACATGACGAAACCCCATCTCTACTAAAAATACAAAACTTAGCTGGTCGTGGTGGACGGCCCCTATAATCCCAGCTACTCAGGAAGCTGAGGCAGGAGAATCACTTCAACCTGGGAGGCAGAGGTTGCAGTTAGCCGAGATCATGCCACTGCACTCCAGCCTGGGTGACAGAGAGCAAGACCATGTCCAAAAAAAAATAAAAAACAAGCATTGATATAAAAATATGAGAGATAGGGCTGGGGGAAGTGGCTCACACCTGTAATCCCACTACTTTGAGGGGCTGAGGCAGGCAGATGGCTTGAGCTCAAGAGTTTGAGACCGGCCGGGACAACATGGCAAAACCTTGTTTCTATCAAAAATACAAAAAATGAATTGGGCATGGTGGCACATGGCTATGGTCCCAGCTACTGGGGATGCTGAGGTGGGAGGATCAACCAGAAGGCAGAAGTTGTAGTTAGCCCAGGTGGTACTACTGCACTCCAGCCTGGCTGACAAGAGTGAGACCCCATCTCAAAAAGAAGGGGAAGGTGGGGTAGAGACATTACTGTGCTCGCCAGTATTTCTAATTGTTCTTCTCTCTTGATCATGTGGGAGAATTACACTTCCCCATCTCCTTGAAATTAGGTATGACTAAACGACTTGCTTCAGCGAATCAAATGTTAGGGGGAAGTGACGTGAGTTGTTGCTGTACAAAATCATTTACAAGCCAATACATGATTCTTTATTCCTCCTCCCCTGCTGTGGTGGACCCTGAGGCCTAGGGCTGAGATGGCAGAGAAGGAGGGTAAGCGAAATTCCCCTTCTGACTCAGTTTGGACTTGTAGCATGAGTGAGAAATAGACTTGTTTTTAAAACCATTAAGATTGTGGAGATGCTTTCTATCATCAGGATAACTTAGGCCAGTGATTCCCAAATTCTGTTGCACATTAAAATCACTTAGGGAACTTTTGCAATTCCTAATGCCTAAGTTCCCCTTTATACCAATTATATAAGAATATCTAGTGGCAGAAATCGGGTATCAGTATTTTTCAGAGATTTCCCAGGCTATTCCAATATGTTAACAAAGTTTGAGAAATAGGCCTAGCCTGTGGTATTCAGTCTCCTACAGTATTCGTACATTCCTGAAAATGTGTAAGAGTAAAGTGATCTTTTTTCTGTTGTAGAATATATTCATCCCTAGAAAGCTTAAAATATAAATATTTTACAGCTCACTCTATGTACATACTATTCAGTATATTGATAATATTTTATATGATTTTATTCTTTGTTTACATTTTAACACAATCCTGTGGGTATGTGGTGCTAATATTCTCTTTTGGCATACCTAATTAATTCCATCTTTTCTCAGAATTAAGTTTATAAGACTAAAGGTTTTTTCTAAGTATTGTCACTTTTTTCATTGTCGATTCATTTGGGTAAAATAATGAGATATAGGCCAGGCACGGTGGCTCATGCCTGTAATCCCAGCACTTTGGGAGGCCGAGGCCGGTGGATCACAAGGTCAAGAGATTGAGACCATCCTGGCCAACATGGTGAAACCCCGTCTCTACTAAAATACAAAAATTAGCTGGGCGTGGTGGTGATCACCTGTAATCCCAGCTACTTGGGAGGGTGAGGCAGGAGAATTGTTTGAACCCAGGAGGCAGAGGTTGCAGAGAGCCAAGATCATGCCACTGTACTCTAGCCTGGCGCCTAGTGACAGAGCAAGACTCTGTCTCAAAAAAAAAAAAAAAAAAAAAAAAAAAAGAGATATAAATAGATTATTGCACACATGCTGGTGAGTAGACCAAGAGGCAACATATATTGGTAGTCAGGGAGCACCATGTGATTGCTTAAAATGTTCATTTATTTATCCATCCGGGTACTTAAGTCTGAAATTAGCATGACAAAGGTGAGTTGGGGCTCAGGGGCAGTGGCTCACACTTCTTAACTCAGCAGTTTGGAAGGCTGTTGGAGACCAGACTGGACAACATAGTGAGACCCTGTCTCCAAAAACGAAAATTAAAAATAAATAGGTAAGTTGGGTGTGTTATGGACTGAATGTTTGTATCCTCCCAAAATTCGTATGTTGAAACCCAACCCCCCTACTATGATGATATTTGGAGGTGGGTCCTTTGGGAGGTAATTAGGGTTAGATAAGGTCAAGATCCCTTATTCTCTCTCTCTAGATTTTGTGTGTGTGTGTTTCTCTGGAAAACCCTGACTAATAATAGATAACTACTGTATGGACAGGAAGTTAGATAGACTGTGCCAACCTAAAAGGCCAGTGCGGAAGCCCTAACCTCCAACATGATGGTATTTGGAGATGGGCCTTTTAGAAGGTAAGTGTGTTTAAATGAGGTGAAGAGGTTGGGGCCCTCGTGATGAGATTAGTGCCATTACACTAAAGGACACCAAGGAGCTTGCTGTGTCTCATTCTGCCATGTGAAGACATGATAAGAAAGCAGCCAACTGTAAGTCAGAAAGGCTCCTCACCAGAACCTAACCATGCTGGTGGTATACTCATCTCAGACTGCTAACCTCCAGAACTGTGAGAAAAAAAAAAGTTCCTTTGTTTAAACCATCTAGTCTGGTATTTTGTTATGGCAGCCTGAGCAGACCAATATGGAATGTATAAATTTCAGTTTGTTTAAAAGTTAAGGACAAGTAAAGAATCAGGGAAGACTTAATGGGAAAAACTTAAGATTTAACAGGTACTGGATGCTCTAAATAGAAAAACAGTTTGCTTTTTGTTTAAGGTTTAATGTGCTTTTCATGGTTGGCAGCTCAATAGCGGAAGAGCCAAGTCCAGAATCATTTGGACTTCCCCCATTTAAACAGTGGCATTATGCCATGTTGCTCAGGCTGGTCTCAAACTTCTTAGCTGAAACACCTTGGCCTCCCAAAGTGCTGGGGTTACAGACATGAGCCACTGCAGCCAGCCTACATTTTTAAATAGTTGGAAACTCAAAAAATTGTTTGATGACACGTGAAAATGGTATAAAACAATGTGCAATCCATTGTCCATAAGTAAGGTTTTCTTTGAACACAGTCATGCTCATTAACTTATTTGCCATGGCTGCTTTCATGCTGCAACTGCAGAATTGAATATTTGCAACAGATCATGTTTTTGCAAGGCCTAAAACACTTACTCTCTGGCATTTTACAGAAAAATATTATTAACTCCTGTAGAAGAATACAAAATAACATGGAAATAACCATATAATTATATTGCTTCTTGTGTTCTGCACTATATAAACTCCTAGAAGTGGAATTCTTGAGTCACGTCATAATTATGAAATTTAGGCTAGGCAGTAATTTAGGCTCATGCCTGTAATCCCAGCACTTTGCAAGATTGAGGCAGGAGGATCACTTGAGTCCAGGAGATCGAGGCTGCAGTGAGCCATGATTACGCCACTGCACTCCAGCCTGGATGACAGAGAAAGACCGTGCCTCCAAAACAACAACACAATGTAAATACTGTTTGTTATTACTGTTACCATCATCATTATTTTA